TCCCCCTACCCAAATTCGTCACAGAACTGGCAAACTCTTTTAAGCAATTGCATTAAAGTAAAAATGCTGTTAAGCTCAATTACATATAGGATCCTGACCCTATTCTTAGGCTTTCTAGATCCACATCGTCTTTTGATATCTCAGGATCTCCAACAAATATAAATTGACATTGAACTTGTAAAAACTTATTCTAAGGAATTTCTAACTCTAATAACGTTTTTTTAAAGCTGTTATTGATGAAATTACGAAAGCCTATAAAAAGAAAGAAAGATAGATAGAACTAGTAGACTAATTGTTCACAGAACAATTAGAGGTCTTTCCACCTCTTTTAGGTTTCTTTAATTTATATATTTTTCTCTCTAAAGTTAACTTTTATCCAAAAAGAATCCATAAAGGCTTGAAAGATAAAAAAAATGAAAATTTTAAAAATTTTGAAATGACCTTGACCTTTAACCTTTTCCGCATATTGAAGGTCAAAGGTCATGAATCACATTGCAATTGGTCTCATGCTTCCACGACTTTTAGTTTTAAAGTTACAAGGTTTAATAGTAAGCGCAAAGACGTTAAAGGGTGATAACTCATATAAGGGGTCATCGGATCCTTTTGCACTGAATAGATTGAAGTTGTGTCTAAAGACCCTGAAGACATTAGTGAAGGTTTGATGTCTCTACAATCTACGGTTTCAGAGGAGTAGTGATAACAATGTTTTTCGCACAAGGGGCAATAACTTTCAAAGGGGTCAATCTTAGGGGACAAGTGTGAAATCTTTGAAATAGTTTTAAGAGGACATATTAATGATGCAAAGATATTTAGGATATGTTGAAAGACAAAAGAGATATAAAAAGAGCTTAATTTCTCATATTTTGAATGACCTTGACCTTTGACCTTTGCATAGATTTGAAGGTCAAAGGTCAATGAATCTTATGCAGTTGGTCCCATCTCTCTACAACTTATCGTTTTGAAAATTTTTAATTATTCGTAAGTTTCATAAACTTTCAGGGGCAATAACTCATAAAAGGGGTTGACGAATACTTTCGCAATGAAAAGACTGAAGAGTCCCCTCAATTAGTCGAAGACATTGGTGAAGGTTCCGTTCCTCTACGGTTTATGGTTTCGAAGGAGTAGCGATAACAAGCTATTCTTGCGAAAGGGGCAATAACTTCGTAGGAGGTCATAGGTCAAACACGGGGGGTCGTTTTTCGGAATAACTTTTGATATCCAGTATCATGACCTATAAAGTTTTTCGATAAGTCTTGCAGTTTCAAAAGTCCGGGAAGAAAAATAATAATAATAATAACTAGGAGACTAATTGTTCAGAGAACAATTAGAGGCCTTTCCACCTTTTTAAGTGTTTCCATGAGATTTGGGTTGTAATAAAGAAGAAAAAAGCAAGAAATGAGAAAAAAAAAAAAAAAAAAAAAAAAAAAAAAGAGATTCCTCCAGCAGGGTTCGAACCCAAATTCCTTGGTTTGAAAGGCAGGTGCGCTAACCATTAGGCCACGCACTCCGATGAAGATGGAGGTAGTAAATATGTTGTTTAGGAATAAATAGGAATATAAGAGCACGTGTCCTTTTGTTTGTTGTCCAATGTAGTAATCAGTAATAAATTGTTTTGAGAAACACGATTGGTGTATAATAAAAAAGCAGATTTTCTGTAAAAATAATTTATTTGAGTTGGTTTATACTCTAAATCAATGGAGTTAATCACCTAGAGCCTAGGATACATTAGAACTGCCGTGCCGAGACTTTGTTTACGAATTTATGAAAAATGTCGCGTTCGGTTTGACCGAATATGGTGATTCAAAATAATAGGTCAGATTTAATAAATATCTCCATGTGGGTTGAATTAAATGTAACTAGCATAAATTAAATTTCAGACATGCATTTCAGGAAGAAAAAAAGGTGTCAATGAGAGCGTGGAAATTTATTTGATAGGAAAAATCGCTATTTTCGAGACTCATTCCATTAACATTAAATCTAAATAAAATTGAAATAAATCCCACATACTAAAGAAATCAAGAATGCTTGGTATTAAAATATTGTATTAGAGCAGGAGAATCGAATGCTATTAATAACAACTGAAGAAATAGCCGATAAAAGCTTAAATTCATTTTTATGCTCATCAGCACCTAAATTTCAGATAGAAAAAAAAAATGTAGTATTTGCCGATAAAATTCATAATTTCGTTACACTTCAGAGACTCACCGTAAAACTTTCAGGAAACTTTCTTTGAGGTCTTTTCTGCAGTTTCTTAAAATCTTATGTCGATCCGAGGTGTATGAGTTTTAGAGAAATTTTCTACGTTGCTATTGATTTTTTTTTTTTCAAAAGGGGGGGGGGGGGTTGAGGAGAATTATTTATTTATTTATTCCTAACATTTTTAGAAGTAAGAGTTGTAGCAACCTCCACGAACTTAATCTTGATTGTGACCTTTGGGTCAAAGGTCAAGGTCATTTAAAAAAAACAAAAAAACAACAACTTTGCTTTAAACTGAGTTCAACACTGAAATGTACATGAATCTAGATGCATGTTCTGAATTTTTTTTACCCTTGAGTCAGTGTCAAGGTCAAAGGTTAAAGGTCAAAGGTCAAGGTCAAAGGTCAAGGTCATTTAAATAAATAGCTGATATCAACAATTTATATAGTTTTCAATGACCTTGACCTTTGACCTTGACCTACATTTCAAGGTCAAAGGTCAAACATGCCCATGCAGTTGGTTCCATGTCTCTAGGTTAGACCCTTTGAAAAAAAGTTCATTAAATGTAAGCAGCGAAAACTTTCAGGGACAGTAACTCATAGAAGGGGCCGAAGAACCCTTTCGCACTGTATAGATTGAAGAGTGCACTAAATGAGTCGAAGACACTGATGAAGGTTTGGAATCTCTACGCTTTACGGTTTCAGAGGAGTAGCGATAACAAGGTTTCATTGCGAAAGGGGTGACAACTTTTGAATGGGTCAAGCTTGGGGGACAAGAATGAAATCTTTAAAATAGTTTTAGAAGGACAAATTAAAGATGCAAAGATATGTAGTATATGTTGAAAGACAAAAGAGCTATAAAAAGAGTTAATTTTCCTATATTTTGAATGACCTTGACCTTTGACCTTGACCTTAACTTCAAGGTATAAGGTCAAAGAATCTTATGCAGTTGGTCCTATTTCTTTACGACTTATCATTAAGAAAATTTTTCATTATTCGTAAACACCAAAAAAATCTCAGGGGCGATAACTTATTAAAGGGCTCGACAAATCATTTCACAATGAAAAGATTGAAAAGTCCTCTCAAGTAGTCGAAAACATTGGTAATGGTTTCGAACCTCTGCGGTTTATGATTTCGAAGGAGTAGCGATAACAATGTTTTTCGTTCAAAGGGCAAGAACTCCGAAAGGGGTCATAGGTCATACTCGTTGGGTAGTTTTTCGAAATAACTTTTGATGTCGAGTATCATGAACTATAAAGTTCTTCGAAAAGTCTTTCGGTTCAAAAGGCGGTAACGGAAAAATAATAATAATAATAATAAACATAAGCATTTCAATAGGTCTTTCCACAGAAAGGTGGAAAGACCTAATAATAATAAACATAAGCATTTCAAGAGGTCTTTCCACAGAAAGGTGGAAAGACCTAATCAAGAAACAAACACAATCACCTTCCTATTATTTCCAATTAAATATCTCACTGCTCAAAGGCGAGAGGTGCCGAGTCTAAGTCTTAATTTCCAGCCCTCTACCGATAAGTGGTAGCTTCTCATTATGAGTGTAAAATTCTCAAAAGGACGTTAATCAATCAATCAATCAATAAAGGATATGCGCTTCTTGGTATAGGGACTATAACCCTTGGTGTTATTACCTGAGTAACACGTATTTATTACCTATTTCAACAAATAAAATTGTTATCAAACACATAAAGTTATATACGTTTTGATTAAACAAGGACCACACGGTGGGTGTGACCGGTCGACATGATTTATTTTCTTTTCAAGAGCACCTGATTTACCTCCGTTTTCAAATTATTGGTTTTGCTCTCAGTTTTATTTTTAAATGTGGACTTTTGAGCATGATAACAGCTCGCTACCTTCACATTTCATTTCACAATCCTTATTTTAAATATCCACCAAATTCTTATTTTAACATCTACCAAGGCACTCGTCGTGACAGTGTTTAGAAATGAAAACCAAATAATTTTGAATATACGAGTCGTATATAGTTTATTTACATATCTGCATGGTACATTTAATATAAAAAATCGAAAATGATTAACACCAAAGACTCATATTCCCCAAACACCGCATACTATTATAGTTTTCAAATATCCTACATGTAATTTGCATTTAAAACATTCAATTCCATTTTATTTTACAATACTAATTCAAAGTAAGAAAAAATCAATTTAATGATAAATAATTATATTTTTTTCTCTCAGAATCGCTCATTATTTCCAGTCTGTAGCTTCTCTTATCAATCTTCATCTCTAGAGTTAAATAAATAAAACAAAATATATATTATTTCCAGAATTTGCATTGAATTCCCCGTTCCCGAAATATATATCAAATAATGTTTAAGATATATAATATTGTTTAAAAATGTCTAATAAATGATTTAAATATTGTATATTTAGCATAAATGATGTGCCTAGTAACGTCTTATCAATAAATGACGTGCATAGTGACGTCTGATACAAAAATGGCGTACCTGATGTTTTATCTATAAATAACATACCTAATGATGTCTGATCTAAAATGACGTACCTAGTGACGCTTGATGAACAAATGACGTACCTAGTGACGTTTGATGAACAAATGACGTATCTAGTGACGTTTGATTAACAAATGAAGTACCTAGTGAAGTCTGATCAATAAGTGGCGTTCTTAGTGACGTTTGATCAGTAGTTGACGTACCCAGTGACGTCTCATCAATAATTAAATGATGTACCTAGTGACGTCAAATTAAAGTGTCTGGGAAGTATGTAACAATGCTAGTTTTAAAATACGTAGAATTGTATAATAAAAACATTCCGTAAGTTTTACAGTCAGATTCGCAACGATAACGGAGATATTCCGGGTTAAAGTAGGCGGTTCTCGCACCTGTCTAAAACCAATCAACGCTACTTCCGGTTTTACCATAAATAGCGAAAAACCCCGCATGACGTCACATCACATCAAGTTCAAAATGGCGAGTACAAACAACAACAGCGAAGCCTCCGATTCTGCGTCCGATATCGACCTACATATGTCGTTTGAGGCCTCATCCTTCGAAGAAACACAAGAAGAACATTTCCAGAATGTAGCCCCTTATCGATTTGAACCTGAGGCGAGTGATTCTAGTGAATCTGATGGCTCAAGTGAGGACGATGTCGACAACCCACAGCGGCTCGGCAATACGGACTGGTATGACTTTCACGTTAAAACTCTCTGGTATAATACAAAGAAAAATATATATTTTATACTCATAGAATTTCGCATGGTCTGAACTAATAATAATTAATAAAAATATTACTATATAAGCCAAATGTTGCGAGAAATGAGGCCATGTAAATTACACCCATGCAACATGGCTGAATATTCGTTCGGGACGACCATTTGAATCTTATGGGCTAGCAGATTTAGATCTATTCTTGAAAATTGTCTCAATGAGAAGGAAATAATTAATCTGATCTTGAAAAGTGGTATATACACGCCCAAAGAGTTTACTACTTTTTTGTAGCTTGTCAACTTTTCTGGTCTCTATAGTCATGGAGTTTGGACATGTTTTTTTTTCTGCGATGGCAGAAAATTAAGATGACAACTAAATTTGTCAGAACCTCTAACTCTGAGAATAAAATTTTGCCCCTTTACAGGCCCGTAGGAAGCAATTTCAGTTGGGGGGGGGGGCACAGCTGAACATTTTCAGTTGGGGGGGGGGCACTATCAACTACCAAAATTCATTGACAAGCAAAAAAAAAAGGTCATCAGACGTTTTCATTGAGGGGGCACAAGCAACAAGCATATAGTAGCTATGTTTTCTATAGTAATCTAGATATCGGCAAAATTATTTGAGGGGGACAACCCCCCCCCTTCCTACGGCCATGCTTTATACCTGATGATAAGTTGAAAACAAAAACTGTATTGCTCTATGCACATTATCTACATGTATGGGACTTCTGGAGTATTTTTTTTTTAAAGATTAAAGTTGATAAATAATCATTATGTCTAATGCATCTTCGTAAGCCAAGGGTTTTCGGTCTGCTTCGCGGGGAGAAAAGTGGACCGAAAACCCTTGGCTTGCGAAGATGTGTCTAATATAACTTCCATGTAATCATGTTTGAATATTGTAGGTGCACTTGTGGATTCTGTACTCCGAAACCCACACTCAGAGAAAGTATATGCTGCACTGAAATCACCAGGATTGATGAAAAGAGAACATCTTTTCAGAAAGAATTGCCTTGCATTACAGAACACCCTGGATTCCAATCTGTTTGTCTCGACATCTACGTCTTGGAGACAGCCTATTATCAGTATCGTTCCCAGTATGGGGAATTGCAAAAGACCATTGAACAGTAAGACATTTTATTGAATTTTTACATATTTGTTCCAAAAATGAAATAAAGCATTTGAAGAAAATCACAAAGACTATCACAAGTAATAACAAGTGCATGATAACATGATTTTCTTTTATTCAATCAAGAAGAAACAGATATACAGCATATCGTCAGCTTGTTCGTTGGTGTTGGGGCTACTTGGGGAAGAGTGTTCGTGTCCCACTTCCCTCTTGTGCAGTTACAAAGATACACCATTCCTTCAGTTCTGAAGAGTATCAAGGATTCAGAGACCCTGAATGAGTAAGCCACTTCTATATTTTGGATTAACAAAAATTCACCATATTATCAACTTTTACTATCAATTTTACAAATTAAATAAATATAAAGTTTACACAGCATAAATCTTATAAATGAGAAATGGTTAAGCATAGGATACAGAAAACAACCTTGCCTAGTCACACATACAAGCAAAAAGCAGTTCAAAATAATTGACAAAACATAAGCCTCATGTACATATTACAATAAAATTTATAAAAGCATCAGCTACAAAAAAAATCTTGATTACATAGGTAATTTTTTTTGCACCCAGGAACGGGACGTGGACCCTGCTTTTTTTGTTCCCATTTTTTTTTTTTTTTGCAATTTTATTTTTGTTTTCCTACATGCAAATTTACAAGTAAATGCTAACTATAACACTATTTATACAATTATTTACAAACAGACTATGACAAACTACAGCATGAGTATCCACAACTGATATTTACAGTTCTATGTATACAAGGGCTAGAATCTCCTACACAGATGTCTCCTTCCTCCCAAACCGAGACTGGAAATTAAACACTGCTTCCTCCTTTTCAGGGTGAAGAAAATCACTGCACAGAGGAGGTGGTTGCAACTGAGGCAAACAGAGCGCAGGTGGAAAGGCGGGTGCTGGTGTCCGGGATGATACCTCAACATATCGTAGAGTCTCTGTCATCAAATCAGATGCATACCCTGAAATGCATAGACAATATTTAAAATTTGTAAAATATTGAGGACTCTATCTCTGTTGATAAATACAAGTATCATTCTCGTGTTTTGCTTGGTATTGAATAAAATTAAATTCAACATATTTTGTTATTTATATATACATTTTTTTTTTTTGGTTGTTCAATTTTTAAACGAGGAGGGACTTTTACAATTTTTTTTTTTTTAAAGGTGCGTTAATAAAAGCATCTTACCAAACGTTGAATCTACAGTCTTCATGCGAACACTATATTCGCCATGCTTGAACTTGGGAAAGCTGATCTTGTACTGCAGGTTTCCCTCCTTTGTAACTGCCTGCATTCTTGAAGAGTTCTCATTAAAATGGAGAGCAGCAACCATCAACCTACATAAAATTTTTAACCTTGTAGATTACAATAAATAAAATCTCCATCTGCTTTCTGTATTGTAGAAATTTAAATAAGAAATGATATAAAAAAATATCCAATATTACTGTGTAAGCATACCTGCAGTACATGCCATGATAAGAGAAGGAAACCATCTTGGGGGCAAAGTGATTGATAGTGCTATGGAAAGCCTCAATCTGGGATGTTTGGTGCAGTGGGGACAGCTTGGGTATATCTTTCTTCATCTGATTGGACAGGATAATATCGCAAATCTTCTCACTGGCTTTCGTTCCTTTATGAAAACAAAATGTATACTTATTGTACAGGATTTTTCCCTTTAACAAGGCAGTTATGAAATTTGCCAATAAAGAAAGTAATAATTATTTATCAATTCTAAAATAAGGTTTTACCTGGTTTTATCCACTTCTTTTTCTGCTCATCACCCTCTAACGTGTCATGGGCACAAGATGGGAAGAGGTCATTGTGGCCCTCATGAATATTGTGGATATGGTTTTCCACAGACTCCCACTTTGCCCACATGAAGTCCCCATTCCCATCAGGTGTTGAAGCTGCCACCCAGTACAAGTGGTTGGTCAAGCTCTTGATCCATTTGGCAAGATTCTCACACTCCTTCTGTTTGGATGCAGCTAGGATCTTTTTCTTTAGACCTGAAAATATTTTGGAAGCCATGTTTACAGAGTAAAATTAATATGTCCCATCTTAAGATGGGCATATAAAAATCATAATTTAACTGCTTCATTTCATCTTTTACATTCATAACTTTTTAAATCATACATGTTAATAATAACTTTGGAGATAACTCAGTAGAAGTCATTATAAAAGTTAAACATCAGCTAATGTTGATTCTGTACAAAGATGTCTTTAAATACATACAATTCAAATACTGGTAAAGAAAGAAAAGAAAAAGAATACCTTTTGCCACATGCCAAACATCATAATAGTGTGTCGTCTCCGTCAAGTTCTCCCTGATCCACTTTTGTATCTGGACATGGCGGTCAGTCACTATCGTACCAATCTCCAAATCTTGGTCTTTCATCCAGGCAATAGTCCGCTCTAATCCCTTCTTCTCCATTCCCAAGCTGTTTTTTACTTCATTGCTCTACAAAATTTAATCAGATTTCATTAACTTCACAAAACTTCAACCAAACACCTAAAGTTAGTACACATTTTTTCCCCTCATTAGATCCTTTTTAGCATTTTATTTTCATGTATACTTTGTTGAATCTTTTCAGCAGTGTTTGAGTGATAGTTTTATTTAAAATAATGATAAAATAATATTTTTTTTTAAAAACAGTTCATCTTTAATTTAAATAAAAAGTGCAGATATTTATCGAAATAACTTGTTTACCTGAACCAGCTGGATATCAATGACAATTCCTTCCTCAAGGTCAATGGTGCTGTACGAGCCAAACTTTGCACAGTGACCAGGGGAGTCAGCTCGCCCATCTCCACCAATAACCAGAGGATCTCCTCTTTCCAAAGCTCGACTTGCATACTCCTGCTGGTGCTTGTCCCACACACGAGCAATTACAGGAAACAAAATGGCTGACTGGTGGGAATTGAATGTTCTTCTGGTAATGGTTGCAACCCCCATGCAGTTCAGCACACGAAGAACTTTGGACACAAGGGCACCAGAAAACAGTATGGCGGCAGATAACCCAATGTTCCCAACAGGAATATTCCCAATGAATGGCTGACTGCTCCACTGCCAGGTAAACCCACAGAACTCACACTCCACAGCAATCTTCACCATTGTTCCAAGCACCTGCTGTACACTTGCTGCTGTATACTTGTGGCACCTCCTGCAGTTACTGAACAGCTCAAGCAGCTTGGTTTCGGAGATGATAAACTTCCTGTCTTCCAAGGGGTTGCAGGGTGCTTCAGTGCTACAATTTTTAAAAGATTAAATTAATTACAGGGAAATAAAAATTGCCAAAAGAATTGAGGCTAACATATTCATTTTCTCTTCATAGTAAACTTTTTGAAGCAATTCTTAGGTAACTGATCAATGACCATAGCCTAATCACTTACTTGATATCCTGTACATGAGAATCATCTGAACTAGTGCCAGAAGGTTCATACAATGAGGCAGTCTCATTCTCCGTCTGGATAGACTCTTCACCACTAGAGGAATCAGGAACAGGTGCTGGAGGTGGACGTGGAGCAGGCAAATCATCTTGTACATCAACCTGAATACCAATGCTTCGAACTCTGGGTTGTAGGTCAACTTGTAATCCTAACAAATTACATATAAACATTATATGTCATTGTGAGAAAACAAGATTTTTCTCTTAAAATTTATATTTAGGAGGAAGAACAATGATCTAATTAGTCTTATGCATATGAACTTGCAATTTTTTTAAAATTGAATACTACACACAAATTAGGTACTGATAAGTTAAATGTTTTCCTCTCTTTTCAAAATTTAAAAAGAAATGGTGAAAGGGGGTATATAAACGATACTACATAATATAATTCAGTTATAATAATCATCAATGAGTAAATATGTAATAATCCCTGAATGTATGTCTTTCAATACCAGCTTAGGGGTCATAGTCCATAAATGTACATGTTCTAATATAATAAATGTTTTTTAAAAAAAAGCCAAACTAGCCATGGGGAATCAGATTGAGAGTACCAGGTATATTGCAGTAATAATCAAAGAATAAAGAATGACAATTACAACATATTATTATCTTATGTTGCAACAAGTTACTTCGAATAAGTACCTTTTTCCTTATTCCTTGCAGCAACTTGAATCTTTACGCTACGTTTTCGTGTTGATTCTGTCTGACATGCCATAGACACACTTTTCTCCTAAAATGAACAGAAAAAAGATTAATAAGTAATCCGTAGAAGTATAATTGTGGCCTGCATACTTTACAGCAATATTTTTATCTCTTTTCTTTAATAATACTCGTATGAATAGTACAATTTTTTCTTCCTTTCACTAAATTTAGAACAAGTGCAAGTTTCTGTTTTATTTCATAATAGTTTACTCATACACATATGGACTTATTTGCATAGAGTCTAGTATTGTGGACATGTTAAGCAGGAAATTTAGATTTGGTTATTATTTATTTAGGGTCAAGTAATTTAAATTCAGAAGAACACAGCGATGAAGAATGTAATAACCATCTCTTTTAATCTTATATCTGAACTGAATAAATCTTCATGATATTGTGAATAATGCACAAGATGCATGATAACATCATTTATATTTAACAAAATAATCATTGAACTTTTTCTTAAACGAGGCAAGCTGACAAATTTATACTACATTTTTTATTTCGTATATTTTTGTTGACCTAATCAATCTGTGCAGAGTTATCTTAATTATGCCCAAACAAAAGTCATAGGAGATGTCAATTTAAATAAACATATCTCTTACTACACATCGGATCCTCACCAATCTATCCTTGTTTAATACGCAATACAGTAATAACCAACTTATCAGTTGTAAAAATCATTCTTACATTCATGGTCCTCATGGGACTTAGAACCGAAAGTTGAATAGCAAGTTGAATACCGATCCCAATCGGAATCAAGATGAAGAATTTAACAGAAAAGAAATTGAGACAGAATTAGATGAGAATCTATGATTTTTTTTTTTAAATAATGGCCTAAAAAAAGATAAATAAAAGATGCATCAGCATGTGGAATAAGAAGAGAAAATTTAATAAAATCATTCTTTCTTTTCAGTTGGTTTAGTACTACATATATTGTGTAAACATAATTATATAAAGCTAAGGTGCAAGGAATGTAACAATTTACACATTTCTCTCTATTTTTTTTTTTTGGTTCTTAAATATGTTATAACATACCGAAACAGGTGTGGGAAAGGGAACAGGCGTTGTTTGGATCCCAACACATTCATCCTGGTCTTGCGACTCTTCCTGTATTTCTTCAACCTCTGTGTTGTCATGAAGCAGCTCTGCCAATACCTGCGATAAAATAATGAACAAATTTTAACACAAACAAATAATATAAATTTGAATAAGTTTAAGATATTTCAGTGAATACCCAGTGTAATTTACTTTCTGTTTAACAAACAAAGAACATGAAAGCATTTTTAGTGCAGATGAGGTCTTTTTTCTTATTCCGAATTTTCTCACCAAAAGTCTACAAATTTCTGAAGTTAATATTTTTTTATTATCGAATCACCACCATTTATAGATTAAAACAAAATAGAATAGAACAAAAAAAACTAACCCTATTCCTCTCACGCTTTGCATGGGCTCCTCGTACTGGAGTAGGGGTGTTTACATGGGGAGACTCCAGGAACGCATCGTTCAGTTGGTCTCTTTTCCGCTTGGGATATATGCTTGGTATGGACCCCTGGCGTAGACGCTTCTTCGCTGGGATCCCAAAGTCCTTCATGAGCGAGAAATGTACCTCATAGCAATCCTCGTTGAAATGGTCACTGCAGATAACGGTGTATTTCGAAGGACCAGACCAGTCTGCCCTCGTCAGCTTCACAAAACGACACCAGGCCGCTCGCAGTCGCTCATCTTTGGGGAAAACATGAACCGACACGCCATCTGACTGTCTTTTGCTGCATCCCGCTACAACACACATGCGTCCGACACTTTTGCTGGCCATTATTCGCCGGAAAACACGCACAGGTCAATAGAAGACTTTCTAAAAATGGCGCAAACTGATGTGTTGTGACGTCACTTCCGTTTTAGCTAGGAATAGCCTCGTTTTCGGTATCGTAAAGGTGTATATTTTTAAAATTTTCAGTTTTTTGGCGATATCTCCTTTATAAAATCGACTTTGTTGGAAAAACTTGCTTTTCTAGATATTTTAATACTTAAACAAAATATATAATACCACTTTATCATCTACTTCCCAGACACTTTAATAGTTTTTGACCCGGTCTGTCTGTGGACTCGATCCTTACGTCGCGAGTTAGAATCCCACTGTGGGACGTGGAAACCGGTTCTTTGGATGAGACCGTATAAACCTAATTTGGTTCTTAACTAAATCAATAAACAAACAAGCAAACCTAGTGACGTCTAATCATCATCATCGTCTCCCTCACTGATGTCCCATTCTGAATAGTTGGAGTCCAAGTCTCATACCAGTATCCCGGGGACCACTGACCGTTGAGGAAAGCATCGTGGCAGTTGTTAAACCACCACCCCCCTTTGTAACTCCTAGCACAGTTACCACTCATTCTATCATTATCTCTGTCGGGGGATGTGAAGTTCATCCCAGAGGGGTCAGTGTTAGAACTTCCAGTATCCATCATCCTGTCACCTATTTAAGTACATTTCACATTTAGTTCAGAGCAATTTGGATTATGTTTTCCTTCTTTTCAGTAATATATAATATATAGGTCCGTGCCGTGTGGATCATTTTCATCAATCTTGTATTAAAATACTGCCACGTATACAAAACCCACAGTATAACAAGGCAATAAAATGAACATACCTGCATCATATCCTGCCTAATATAACAATCATCAGAGGATGCTTTACAGAATGCAAATATTTATGTGGATTTACAAACCAAATTTATAACAAAGAATTGAAATATTGCAAGTCTGAAAAGAAAAAGGAAAGGTGTGCTAGAGAAAAAAATGGTTACTGCGAACAAAATTTATGGAGCGTTTTAATCAAAACCAAAATCTCCATAATTCCTCGATTGTTTAGACGCCAGCGGTAGGAATGAACGTAGGTACATGTACCCGGCTTGGATACAACTATTAACATGACCTATAGTATCATATAAACACTATTTTGATTTTATCGACTTCTACATCTTACAGGCAGCCAATGAATATATATTTTCCTGGCAACCAAGGAACTATATCTTACTATTTTGTTTATAGGCAGCGAATGAAACCGCCATTAGTTGGTATGTATTTTGAATTCTTCATTTCTTCTCAAGAGTTTATTAAATTTTCAGTGCATAGTATAACTAAATTCTAAGTACAAGTTTAACCTACTTTTATCTGTGCAGACGTTTTTCAACTCTCTCTCTCTTTTGCCTTGTATAGTACACTCAATACCTGCCACATACCTAGAGTCCCCGTGGCAGGTCCAGCCAAAAGGAGTTTATATAAGGCTGCTTCGTCGGAAACTGAGAAATGAGCGTACAATTCATTCAATTTGCTACCATTCACTAGTGTGATGGAAACATAGAGGGATGAGTTCTTTCCCTTTGTTAAATGATGGATGGCGTCATTTCCTGTATAAAGTACATTCACAATCATTGATTATCATTTTGCATTGCATTTTTTTTTTCAAAATAAAGATTTTCTAAAAGCTATTTCTTCTTTACAACATGATTAAAAATTAAATATATATTTTAAGAAATTGTCTTGTTTGTCTAAGACAAATTATGAATGGTCTTATCATTTTGTGATTTTTCTCCTTTTCTTGCTCCTCTCTCTCTGCTCTCATATTATATTTTATATATATTCTTTAAATATAAAATTAAAACTTGATATTACCTTTTCTTAAAATAGTTTTCAAAAAATATTTCCAAAATATGCAAGAAATTAAGATCCAATGTTGATAAGAACTATATTTACCGATCCAGACATTCTGTTCTGATTCACCAAAGCCATTCTTATATTCTAACCATGTCCTCTCGAAGCTCAGCGATCCATCAACTCGCTTTTGTATTACCTTGGAAATATGTCCATTAATTTAGTTATTATTCTGATAAAGATTTGTTTGATAAGTGTAAAAAATAGAAACTCAGAATATGAATGTTTTATGTCTCTTCAAACCCAATGAATAACAAAACCAAATATTCCAATTAACATGTCAAAGAACGATTGTCATGCTTTATAGGTCACAAAATACCGTCCATCCCCCATCCATTGTCTCCATATCACAGTACACTCTGACAGAACGGGAGCTGGTGCCATAGGAATAAATCTCGTACAACCCTGTATTATTGCGACCATCTTCAAGAAGATCCTTACAATCAGTTAGAATAACTAAAACATTAAATAAATCAATGCTGAAATGCATAATATGTATAAAAACAAAAGATATGCTCTACTGCCCCCCCCCCCTTTCAAAGAATGCACGTGTATATTTCATTTTTTTTTTTTAAATTAGCGGCCCGCAAATCAAAACCAATTTTTTTCACTAGAAACTTTTATTTAACTTTGTATTGGTATTTTCTCTTGTCTTTGGATAACCTACTTGATACCAATTGCCCAGTAATGACTGCAATTATCTAGTGGATCAAAATTGTACAAGTTATTTATCGCAACAGAAATACCATTTCCTGATAAGCATTTACGATTTATCAGTTTCTCTATTATCATTATTCCTATATAGAGTAACTTTCAATAAAGTTTCAGTCACTATTCCGTTAAGTGAATGGCAGAGTTTCATCTTGTTTAAGTTTTTTTTTTTTTGAAATTAAAATAGAACACAGGAATTACAAAATACAATGATTCAAAAAATATCATTAGCAATAAAAATAATACGGAAAATAGCAATATTAACATTAAGAAGTGATAATAAATATCTTGAGACAAAATATGATAGGAGTACTTTTGACATTATTCGTAAAATAATATAATGCGAAGAAAATTTTGATGGACCTCTTGACCTTTTCCAAGTGAAATCATAACCGAGGAAACATAGTAGGATTTTAATAAAAGAAAAAGTAACAGTAATACAAATACTACATACAATGAGAATAGTAACTCCACCCAATCTCATCAGACATTTGAGATGTGAAGATCTCCTTGTGGGTACGACACTTCATCAATATAGGGTTATATCCGAAGAAGACACAGTCCCTTTGACACAGTGTCGCGCACTCGATCAAAGAACTAGAGTTATATTCTCTTAAAAGTTCGTAATTTGATTTTTTATCATCACATTCCGATTTTGCAACAAAATACCGCGAAATAAAGGTAGCCTGTGACAGCATGAAGGAAATAATTAAAAAGAAAACCCGGAATTTGGTCATATTGTACATTGTGTGCATCATAAACTGTTGTGTTCCGATAAGCAATGGCTAATTTATCTTGAAGCATCCAAGTAAATACAAGAATTTTAATCGATTCCTGAAAAGTGATTAGCTAGCTGTTAGTTATTCTGAACTTTACTATTGTTTAAATATTAATGTTGTTTTATTTAAATGAATGAATTTACATAACGTTTTGCATAATTTGTATTTGCAATACAGGAAAAAATTACCATTTTTATAAAATATTTCATATTTTTAAAGTAAAGACAATTGTTTATGTCTTGAGGAACTTTATTTGGAATCAAATGAAATCTAACTAAAATTCCTTCGTTAATTTAGGACTCTGTAATTAAAACGATTTCAGATAATCTAAGTAGTAACCAGTGTGAAACCTTTTTAAGTAAATTAAAAAAAAAACGCAAGACCAATGGATGCGCAGCTTGCTCCCCTAGGTACGATTTATAGATATATATATATATATATATATATATATATATATATATATATATATATATATATATATATATATATATATATACTCTATAGTTATCTTTGAAATCTGCACTTCATTTTATATAACTTTGCATTTTACAGTGTTGAAGCTTTTCAGTTTTGCAAATTTTAGGAAGGTATTGTTCAATCTAAGGAGACATTCAATCCCCTTAATACTTTCTTTGCTACTGACTTAGTATGGTGCTATTTCACTTGCGTGGCTATTTTTTCATTAAGGAAAACCTAAATTCAATCACCCTGTCTTTGTTGTCTTTTAACATTTGATATCAAAGAAATGTAATAAGGGATGGCGTATGTATATATGCAAAAAAACTGTAAGTGAACTGTCTGGAAGAAATAGTCAAAGAACATGTCTTCCTTCCATTAACAAACACCATTATGCAAATTAAAAGCTATTTTAAATATGCTGTGTTGAGATCACAGAGACGTAATTTAAGAATTTGTTTGTCAATTTCAAAGTCCATTTTTTTCTCTCTATGTCGAAATTCTTTTTCATGAAATATATCTATGTGAGACATGTTATCTGCGTACAAATTTAACACTGTTGTTAATAATTCAATTTTGAATATGTTTCCCAATATTCCTAGTGGTAAATCAAGATATTGGAACAATTTCTGAGAGTTTAGGTTGGTCAAGGTTTCTAAACTTCTTAATTATCAGATAACCAATGTATATCATTTGTAAAGGCCTTCTCGAACAAAGCAAACTGTTTTAATATCTTTTTTTCTTGTAATGCATAGACTGTGAAGTTACTGGTGCCAGAATTCTTTCACCTACACTACATTTGTCTCCCTTTGCGTTCTATCTCTCTTCTCTCTCTCTGGACATCAAGAGACATTTCTTAAACTTGTTTAATGCCCTTTACACAAATTTGTATTGGTTACATAGGCACTTGGGGTATGGACCCCTCCCTTCCATTTTTATCTTTTTAAATCTGGGGTCGAGTCACCTTTTTTTCCTATTTTTTGTATTCTAATATGCACTATATGTTATCAATAATGTAACTCTTTTGTCTCTATAAGCTTTTTTTAAATATATCGTTTTCGACTGATACATAAAAAGAGAGAAGGCTTGCAACTCTTTTCTCTCCGTCTGCCTCACCTCGCTTAAACTTCACCTGATTATTAATCTAAAACATAAGAACACATGAAATATGCATACGTCAATAAATTTGTTACACTTTCTTCCTTTTCATATTTCCATTTAATTTTTATGTGCCCCCGATTTGTAAATATTTCGATTAAATCACCCGCATCTAGGGTAAATTTTGTTGATGTGCCCCAGCTGGGACGGAAGTGCAATAACGGTAACTCTAACTTTACAAATGTTCTGCATTAAAAAAAATTCCAGGCTTTGTAATAACAAAATTGTGAGATTTGGTTGTCAGGGTCGTTACATGTACTATGAAGAGACAATTCGGGATTTATTCCCTCTCTCATTTAATGTTCAGAATGACATTACCCTTAATGATGACGCCCAAAAATACTGGGCACTTCCGTCCCAGCTGGTGCACATCAACAAAATTTACCTTAGATGCGAGAATGAATATTTATGAGACAGTCTCGTTTAAAGTCACCATTTCGCAAGTTCTATGGTTGATCCAATAACTTTGTCAGCAAATACAATATGTCATTAAGTCAAATGCTGAATGATGTTTTTCATACTGATTGTTAAGCCATTATTTAGACACTGAACTGTCGACAGATTTTCCTTTTTCCATCATATGACAAGGAGCAAACGGCGGGTTTGACTGGTCGGCAGGTGATGCTAACTCCTCCATGGCACCAGATTCCACCTCTGATGTTTTAGAGGTCCGTGTTTGCCCTGTTCTTGATTTTTATTGTTTGAATGAACTTAGGTACTTGAATACTGTTTGAAATCTCCATATTTCACTCTATTTAACGTCTGTGTTATTTTCTATAACAATAAAATCAAAAAGGAAAAACAAGACATACTGTACTTATTTAATGCTTTATAGTATACACGAAAGTCGTGGTTCATGCCAAATGAATTTGCATATGTTAATACTTTCTTGATTAAAAATATAGAGAGAGACCATTTCAGGAAGAGGCCTTGCCAAATGCAAACTTATTTCTTTACATGCCATGTTTTAAATGAGAAACTTCAGACGTACTGTGCTACAGCATATTGTAGAAGTTTTGTTAGATGTGGATTCTCGAATATTCTAAAGAAATTTTAGAAAAAAATTAAAAATCATCAATTAATTTCAATAACATCAAAATACACGAATTCTCTTCACTTTTTACTAATTTTCGCGCTTTAAATAAAAAACTTGGCTTTTTGGTATCATAGACAACCTTTTTTTCCCAATAAAAATAGAACCAGGAATTTTTTGTATATTGTGATTGGTCATCAACAAAATTACTTTGTTAAAATATCATTGATTTTACACAAACTTTCTCATAAGCTGATATTAAAAGGATGCGAAGTTCCTCGTAGAAAATATTTGTTGTCTTCGGAGAACATGTCTTCAAACAAACTGTTGGAAATGCGATGGGCACTTATTGAGCTCCTTTATTAGCCCACCTGTTTTTATATTCCTAAGATGCATAATCTATTAAAAACTTCTTCATCTGAATAAGAAAACCCTTTTTGTGACCTTAAAAGCGACATTTTGATATATCGACGACGTTTTATCAATTAACAATAGTTACTTCCATTCATATGTCGTCTCGACAGATCCATTTAAACTTGAAATAAATAACGCCATAGAGTCTTCTACATCTGTTTCATATTAGAAAACATAAAAAAAATATCCTGACTCTAAAGATTTTACCGTTAGGATAATTACATTTTATTATCCTTTTCTGAGACCTAATGTGTTACTATCATTATGATATCTTTCTGATCATTTTCTTTCTGCAAAGCAAAATTAACAATCCCTGATAACTTTTTTTTATTTAAAAATTATTTTAGGTTACAATAGTTCATCCATTGTAATAATTTTTACTCTTTGACCGCAAAAAGACATCACTACTTTTCATTAAATTAAATCAATTTATGTATTTGTTCTGTGATATGTTTTTTGTGTGTTTTATTTTCATTTGTTTTCGTTTATTTTTCTTCTTCTTTGCTATCAGATAATAAACTGGAGACCATCATTCAGTGAAAAGCAGACTCTAACGGACAAAAGAAATTCGTGATAAAAGTGGGAAAAATGTCATTTTTGTAATATCTTTTCCCAAACTTATTGTAAAAATTTCTTGTTATCAAGGGCAAGAAAGCATTTGAGATAAGATGAGAAATTGGCAACGTTTCAAATACTTGAAGATTGTAGTCCGATTTCAAAAGTGATTTTGATTGAAAAAAAAAATCGTATGAAAGCACATAATATTGAATCGTGTATGAAATGTTAATATTTAATTTTTAACCGAAAAGATTTCTTCCTCAAAGAGTCCTGATTTTCAAAAATAGTAGTTGGGATATAAAACCATTTGCTTTAAAAATAAAACATTGTAAGAAGTATAAATGAACAATCACTTTATAAATCAATTATTTTTAGTACACCATAGTTCATCTATCGCAGGGTCAGCAATGGAAAGTACACCTTACTTTGAATAAAATTGGATTTAATAAAATTCCATTTAGTCCTCCAGAGTTTTTGAAGATAACGGACACGATTGTAATGATTGCTTAATTTAGATTAATATCTAAGTTTAATACTAGAAAAAAAAATTACAACTTTCTTAATTATCATCTTTTGTTATTCATATATCAATATGATTATCAACTGCATATGGGGTTTATGTCTCCCATTTGATTTGATACAAGAGGGAGTGTTCTACGTACAAACATGTTCTTAAACGGAAATCGGTTGTTAAATTCAATGTTGACTGACGTCTTTCATACACATTGATAAGCCCTTATTTTTACAATGAATTGAATACGGATTTTTACTGGATTATGACAAGGAGCAGGTAGCGGGGGTGAGTGTCGACAGGGGACATGGCATCTGATCCCGACTCTGTATTCAGGTGTCCGTATTTGCTTTGCTCATAATTTGAATTGTTTGAATGAGCTTTTGACAAGGTTTACTTCTTGTAATCGTTACATTTAAATTAGTTAAGTTCTTTAAGATTTTTTTTTTAATAAAACTCTGGAAAGAAGCCATGGAATATTGTTATTCAATCAATGTAAACTTCCCTTGAAGAAGGAAGAATGAGTATTTTGACCCTCAAGGGATTTAAAATCACCAGTCTCCTAGATTACCTTGTGATTTATTAAACACCCCCAACCCCACCCCCAAAAACAATAAAATAAAACGAAAATTACCCCCCCCCCCGAAAAAAAATAAGATATTGATATATGTTAAAAAAGTTGGATCTTTTTTTTAAAATGTCTTTTAAATATGCAGCACAAGTTGTTTGAAACTCCCTCTTAAAATTCTTTTAATTTGAAACTTTTTTTTACAGCCCAGAAACTTGAAAACCTGAAATAGCAAGAACTATAGTCTTACAGCTTTTTGC